AAATACTAAATTTTAACTCATTCCTAGAGGCTATGCTACCCAAGAGAAAATTTTTGTAGAATATGATCATTTCTGAACCAAAATGTTGATTCCCAATTGCTACTGTTTATTTAGTTTTCAGTTAGAACTGAGACCATCTGGTAGAAACAATCATTGTTAACACATTCATTAATCTGGATTAACTATTGAAAACCCTAGTTTATTTCACAGATCTCCCTTGTGTATACAGGAATATTTAGTGATGACCATTGGGTTATGACAAATTTGAAGTTCTGCAATTAGGTGTAACACCATTTATTTAAATAAACTTATGGGCCATATCTATTTTAGATATTCACTATCTTTCAGCTTCTCTAAAATCCGGCTATTTTCTTGTAATAATAAATTACAGTGTAAGAAAAAATAAGATTACTAACTGACAAAGAATGCATAACAACAAAAAAATGAGTGACACTAATACTAATAACATGCAGCAGTTGCAAAGCATCTCATATATGATAAACACTGGGTTACACACTCTGTCAGATACCTCATTTAATCTTCACAAATAGCATATAAATTTGAAATTGTAATTGTATTTCCATGTTACTAATGAAAAAACTGAGGTCAGAGGGGTTATGGGATAACCTACTCAAGACTGTAATTGCAATACCAGACAGATGTGTGTGATGTATCAAAGTGGGCAGAGCTGGGCCTCACGGAATCTGTTTTGTGTCATGTCATAACACATGCTTCTAACCTTTACTATGGATTTGGCACAGTCTCTGTATCTTAGTATCACTCATTGACTATTTTAGTCCTGGACAGAAGCACCCACTTGACAGGTGCTGTGGGGAATTTCTTCCCATGGCACACATCATAACAAAGTGGGGTATCATAAATGTGAAATTGTGTTATAGTTAGTTACTAGGGGAACAGCATTTGTCCACATCAAGTCATCTTTGTTCAAATATTCAATTATGTTTTTTATTTGATCAAAAGGTGTAAGTTTTGCATATATACACACACACACACACACACACATATATACACACACATATACACACTGGCTAGATTTAAATAAGCATTGATTTTTAGCACAGTATTGGTCTAGAAGCACTGCTTGTTTTTATTATGAAAGAAAAATTTACAGAAAAGTTTTATCTTCATAACTCTGTTGATGATGTGAATCATGTTTTGATTATAATATCAAAATTTAGGTAGCTAGTATCTACAATCAAGTTGTAATATACTTAGATTTTTACAAGATATTTATATTTTGTCATCTTGAACTGCATAATCGAGAATAAATTTATATCATGTAATGCTTTTATAAAATATTCTTTCATTTTTTAAATGAAGAGCAATCATTGTCATGTTTTTTTTTACATATCATTTCACATTGTACCATGCACATTAGAAATTTGGCCCATACTGTGTTAACATCAAAAAATAATGAATAAATTAATCTCAGCCAGTGTGTGTGTATGTGTGTGTGTGTGTGTGTGTGTGTAAAACAATAATTGTTTAGGTCAAAAAAAATTTTAGAAGTAAGGACAAGAACTGTGTCATAATCATTTTTGTTCCAGCAAAACATTGAAATGTATATCCTTCTGAATAGAAAGATTTGGCAGCATATACTGCTATTTTGCCTCTTCTTTTAATGCTGAAATATTTGTATTAAGTTTTTGTTTGCAAACAATGAGAAACCATCAGCTAACTCAAAAAGAAAGAAGTTCAATAGAAGGATATCAGCAAATGCACAGGGAGGCGAGTGAACCAGAGGAGGCTGGCCAAGAGCAAATAAAGATTCCATCCTGGCTTCTAGCTCTGCCTTTCATCTTAAGAAAGGGATGCTGCTGCCTCCACTTCAAAATAAATGGTGAAGTGCCTACACCTTTCTCCTTACTCACGGAAGATTACAAGACCTGAGCAAAAACATTGATTGGCCACAGAGAAGCCAGGTCATGTGACCATGTTTTAGTTACCAAAAAAAGTAGGAGGAGAGACTACTGGGCATTTTTATTTCTGGGTTTGGAGCAGCAGAAACAAAAAAGATGGCAAATGTCTCCTGGGAAATAATTAAATGGGGTTGATCATCCACTGATTTCAGTGAAGAGTTATTTTCACTACCAGAATAGGCTTATTTTGGAAGGGGAAAGCAAAAATAAATAAGGCCAGAAAAACTGTTCAAACATATATTTTTTGTTTTGGTTACTGTAACTTCGAGATCAAAACCATAACTGTTCCCTGGTGAAAATGAGAATGTTCAAACTACCTATCACTTTTCAGGTAGAAGAGGTTGTCTGTCCAAGTGCAGTTAATGAGCTAAATGAATGGAACAGGTTTATCACAATAACTTATAAGCTTCTTCTCACTTGTATTCTTGGGACTTACAAGACAAATAGAAAACAAAATCACACTTTTAAATTATCTGTGGGTCTCTTTTCAAGTTTGACAGCTGATTTCTTACAAAACGTTTCAATAAAAACTTAAGTCATAACCAAATTTTCCAACATAGCTGTTGCAGTCATTTCTACCCAGCCACACTCTTCCAAAAGAAAAAAAAAAACAAAAAAAACAGTGAATCTGATAAAATCTTATAGGTGTGACCACATAAACAATACATGATTTTAAAAACATAGGAAATTCTTACACAAATGGTCAATTGAACTGAATGTCTGGAGTGATGAGATTAAACGTACCAGAGCTTTTCACCTATGAATGAAGTTTTAACACATCAACTTGACATCAATTTGACTTGTGTATTTTACTAACACTTTGGTTGTTTGAGCATTTTCATAGTTATACCACAATTGCCTTTTTCTCTCAATATAGTAAAATAATAATGATTGTACCCACCACCAACATTAACATGGCTTTGTGAAATCAAACACTTTAAACCAATGATTTATTTTGTCTTTATAATGACATGATATCAGCTTTTTAAAATGTTCTTTTTATTTTATCTGCTGGACTCTCACTATATTATTTAATCATAATGGGGATAGTGAATATCCCTGCACAAACAGTCTCTAAGCCGGTGCCTGTCATCTGATTAGTAACACATAAATCTCTGTTGAATGAAATTTGATGAAGAAACCATTTATTATGTAATGCTAGATTAAAAGCAAGATGTAACAAAATGTTCTATAGAAGAAGTCAGTCAAGAATGAGTACACCTTATATAATTCAATTTTATGAAGTTCAAGAACAAGAAAAATTTATAAAGGTGATAGATATCAATTCATCTCTGGAAAGAGTTTTGACTGGAAATGGCAAGAGGAAGCCTTTTGGGGTACTGCAAATGTTCTTATCTTGTACTATATGCATATTAAATTCTACCTAAAAGTAAATCATAAAACAATATGTATGTAGAATTACTGAAAAATTTTAAATATATGTGTGGGAGTATTTAATTAATTTGGAAAACATTCAAAATATATTAAAGATCTTTTTTTCTTAAGATGCTGTAATTATGTCTTTATGTCATTCATGCGATAATTTTGTTATGATTATGTATATATTTAATAAGTGAAGCCAAAGGTTTTATCATTGTATTACAATGCCTATGAAGTCTGATGCAGAGTTTGTGCTCAAGAAAAATAACTACAATTATTTGACCAGGAATAGAGCTGTTATTCTGAGTCAAAGGTTTTGAGCAGAAATCGATATTTAAGCTCACTTCATATATTTGTGTTTTAGATGAATGTCTACTTTCTTCTCCATAGTACCCTTAGTGCCTAGAATAGTTCTGAACACAGAGTGCGATGCCTATTAAATATTTGTTAAATGAGTGAATGAATCTGATGCACACTAAAACCTTACAATGGGCTTAAGTATCACTTGAAGCAGAACTCAAGTGTCCTCTACCTGTGATGAAATTGTGTTTATCTCTTCCCAGATAGGTCGTGAATAAACAATGAGGCATTCTCTTAAGGAAAAGCCCTCCTAGTTTCAATAGCAAGTCATGTAGCATAGCAGGAAAAAGGGATGGGATTTAACGTCTGGCAGATTCATTTGAAACCCTGATTTTATCACATTGTCTTTTTGTGAAGTTTGCCTGAATACCCAAATATTCAAGCCCAATTTTCTTCATCTGAAAAACAGAAATGTTTCTGAAATTGAAGTAGATAATAAAAGTCAGCCTCTACTAAGCATTCACTATGTACATTCTCTGTGCTAAAAACATTGCATATGTTACCGTATTGCTTGTATGCAAAGTATATGAATTACTTAGCACAAAGCTCAATATAAATACGTTTCTTTTCTATGGCAATTCAATTTTTAAAATCATTCCAATGACTCTCTATATATTTTCTCTAATTTATTTTCTTTGAGTTTTGTAAACTATTTTAGATTGTACTTTGTTAGCATTTATCTAAAGACTTTAAATTTCTTAAAGAAATGAACCATTTGCTCTCTGAGTTGTATAAAGTTCATTGAATTACCAAATCTTAGCATGGCCATTGATGACATGTAATCTTTCTTACAATAAATGCAGTATTTCTCTAATGAAGAGTCATTTGATGGATTTAGGATACAGATTATTTTTTGAGGCAGGGTCTTGCTGTGTTGTCCAGGCTGGTTTTGAAATTCTGGGCTCAAGCTACCCACCTGCCTCAGTCTCCTGAGTATCTGGGACCACAGGCACACCCCACCATGTCTGTTGGCTCTATGATACTTTGAGTGAAGTGGAGTTATTCTCTTCTGATATGCCAAGTTCCATTTTTTGACAACTCTGTGCCTTCCACTCTTAAATCGTTCTTTTCTCTGAAATGGCATAGTTCTCTGACAAGCTGGAGATGGTTACGTATAAAAATCCCCATAAATTGATCATAAAAATAAAAAGTAGGGCAGTTATAGCTCTATTCTATAAATTAAAACTTTGTAGGGAGTGGCATATTCGATTTAAGAGTTTTGACTCAGAGAAGCGTAAAGGTAGCAGAATCTGGAATAGGTTCTGAGAGGACATAGGAGTGGTTGATTAAAAGAGGGTAAAATAATTACTTCACTTCCAGGGATGTGTGCCAACATAGGAGACGTCTTGGCTAAGAAAGTGGAGAAGTGACATGTGCAGACAAGATGCCATGGAAGAGAAAGGCAAACACAGACAGAGGCTCCTCCTTGAAAGTAGGTTTGAGAAAGGTGGCGGGTTGAGTGGTTGGATTCAGGGACTGTAATCACATTAACGGTGCCAAAACAAATAGGAATTAATGTCACTTGAGTTTCTCTGCAGTGAGGGAACTATATCAGTTCCTTGTGGAGTGTCTGCCGTGTGTCAGGTTCTCTGCTAGGCATTTGGAGGAGTTATTTCTTTTAGTATTCAGAGCAGCCTCTGTGTTAGGAATCATTATCCCGGATGAAGAAGCAGAGGCTGAGGGAGATGAGGTGGAGGAAGGAAGAGAAAAAGGCATAAAAACTTTCCTCTTTTGGAAGACAAATGAGAATGAAGCATGAGCTTTTAAAAAGTACTGAGATTTCTCTCTACACCTCCTCCCAGCTTTTTTTAATGTCCTCAAAAGGCTGGGATTAGGAATCCTCCCACAGCCCATGTCTCCTGAGAACTTACATAGCACTGCTTCTGATTAAACTAACAGATTAGACCCAGTGGCATAAGGCACAGCTTCTCTCCTTTGAGAAAGAGCAAGTAAGAATGAAGTGTTAGATTGCAAAGCTAATTATACATTCTCTTCAAGTGTCAACCATCTGTTGCAATTGTTTAAAAAGCAGACATAAGTCAACTGTTGGGGCGGGATGTTTACTGTTGCGAACACACAGGAAGCTTCAGCACACGTGGAGAACCCTTGATCTATCACGTGCCTGTAGGCTGCAGTGAGATTCTGCTGATGTCTTGGGAAACCCACCTTTTCGAGAGATAGTAAGTGATAGCTGCAGGTGCTGAAGATTAAGCACCAGTCACAGAGACTCCTTCAGCACTGGAAAAAAACTTAAACATTATATGATCCACACTCAGTGTATAGATGGGAAAACATAGATGAGCGAAGACAAGGTACTACCTATTACTTATAATCTTACAATTTTCTGCAGAAATTTTGTGTTTGCACATAGAGCCCTCTCTAAAGGGAGGGTGGAACATTATTTTTTTTCTCTGTACTTCATGTGTAGTACAATAATGCAAAAAAAAAAAAAAAAAAAAAAGGAAAGTTCTTCTCAACATTGGGAAGTCAACAAAAAGAAGGAAGTTGTCCAAGGGTGTGCCCCTAGTGATGGCCAGGTTTATTTGTAAAATGTTATAAAAATATAATCAGGTGTAGTGTGGATGAAGGTCAGGATGCACAGAGAAAGTAGCACATTTCCTCCTACACCAGAGCCATGCTGTTCTTTTCCTTATTAACTTATTTATTGAATAAGCTGAAAGTTCTACCAAACTGAGGCTGCTCGTAATTCTCTTTGTTAAAAACAACTGGAATGAGACTGAAAGTTATTTTCACTTACATAATGGCAGTCAGTTGACACCCAGCAGTAAAGAACACTAACTCAAACCAGAAAAAGCATTTTCTTCTGGTTCATTCTATTTCTGTGTGAATAGTGACGTCTTTCTGATACAAGCAAATTTTGACTTTTTGTATGAATGAATAAATTTAGTCTCTGAGACAATCAAGGGGAGATTATTATAGACATCATGGGCAGGACTGCCTCCAGCCCAGTTGCACTGGAGTCCACAATCACCTTGTGGAGGTGGGAAGCATTCTCTTGCCTCCCTGGCTTCACTCACCAGAGATGTGCATTTCACTATCAGCATGTCACAGTGCATCCAGTTAGTTATCTTTCATTGATTTGAATGAAAGATAACTTTCATGTTTCTTTGTATAATTCTATCATTTTCTCCCAGTTTTGCCATCACTAGCAGCATGGTCCTGGATAGCTTGCTTCTCTTTTTGTTGATGTTCCAATGCTGAGAAGAACTTTCCTCTTCTCTTTTCTATGAAAAATTACAAAATCCCTTCACTTGTTCCTCGTGAGATTTATTATCCAGACCCTGGGACTGTTTTCTGTGGAAGCATTCCAGGTGTCAGTAGCTTGTGAAAATAACATACTCAGACTTAGCCAATGGAATTTGTGAAAAATAAATAGTGGTTCTAATAACACCTTGCCACTGAGTTCCCATTTAATTGAATCATACTCAGGGAGCCAGGTAAGAATAAGAAGTGATTTCAGATTAATTACTTTTCCTCGAAACTGGACACAATTTTAACTCAGGACTTCAGTTGGCTGCTGAGTCTGTCGTTTATAATTTCCCCCCTATTTTCATCTTTAAGTCTTGAACATTAGGCCCTGGGTCAACCTGACTACAATTTTTCAGCCACCTGCTTAGTCATTTGCAGCCATTTCCACCACTTTTTCAAAGAGAGTGAAATGGATCCTACTTTTTAATCTCAGATGTGGCTGATGAAGCACAGTAGAAGTTACATTCTTATCTGCCTTTGAAATTAGATAGGTGATTTTTCTTGTCAAGAGGAGAGGTCACTGAGATTCATACAAGGACAACTTTAAGGTGTTTAAATAATACAGCTCCCTTTTGGGGTTTGGGGTTGAAGATCTTTCAGTGGGACTTAACTAGAAATTAGGTATCTTCTTACAGCTTGGAGAGAAAATAAATGAGAAAACAAATTATTGCAAGAAAACTCACTGATTTTCTTCAGTTGATTGTTTTCACATTTAGTTCTAATATCAGAGCTGCTGTGGCTATGTTAACATCATGACTATTTTTACCCTGTTTTCTTTACTGCTCTTACAATGTGAGGACCACATCGTTTCTTCATACAAATGCTACTCAAATAACCACTTCACTCCTTCACCCGAGGAAGGCTACCATCAGTCACTATCCTTTTAATATCAAGGAAAATAAAACTATCAATATATCTTATTTATTTAGTATTCATTTTTTTGTAAACTACCCCCTAAAGATTTAAAGTGTATTTTAACAACAAAAAGCATATAATAATGAAAACAAAATGAGAGTAAGAAAACAGCACTAAGGGGAAATATTATTGGAGACAGAACTTCAAAATCATGGGGAAAAACGTAATTAAATGTTCTCTCACATTATGGCCCCTTTCTCACCCCTGGGTTGGCCCCAATTTTCTTGAAAGCTAAGCATAATAATTCATATAGTTTTCATCATAAACAGGAGCAAGATAATTGTATTATCTTGAGGGTTTTTATCCAGATCTTTATTATAGTTGATGTGCGATGTCCTGGTTTTATTTTTCACTGTCTTTATTAGAGTGGAGATATATTACAGTTAATGTTAAGAGTAGTTTGTGTTTCGGTAAAAATATGTAATATGAAAAATACAAGACACAAGGAGTGAATAGGAATGAGAGAATGCCTGTAGCTCAAATCCATGTAACTAAATTTCTCCAGATACTCTCAACAGTAGCATTTATTCTTAGCAGTGTGATGCAATGCAAAAGGGAGGACTCACGAAATAATGTCACCACAAAGTTCAGATGAATATGACAGTCTAATTGCCCCATCAAGGGCAATGTGACTTTCACATACTGAGTTAGTCCTGCTGCAGACTAGAAACTCAAAGAGCTTCAAGTAAGGAGTGTCTACCCTCCTTTTGATCCTGCTCCTTGGTTTGAATAACTGGGATGTGGTCTTTTCTGATATTCTGGCCAAAAACTGGGTCACTGCCTTAAAACAATGTCTAGTTATCCCTTCTCCTAACTGGAAGATATGTTTTGCTTTTGTCATACTTCTTAGGCATTCTATTTCTTGCCTTAAATCCTGTTCCTGTGGTTTGTCGTCTGCCTTGACGTTTGCCATGAGTGTTCTTGATATACTAGCCAGATCAATTCATCTGCTTAATAGCTATAGTACTGAATTCTCTTTTTGGCCTCCTCCTAGGATATTTGAGGAATAGTTTGGTCTGCAGGTCTCTACTCCTAACCATCTGAATTATGCAAATGTCAACCCAGTTAAATTCTAGTAATAAATGTTCATCTCTGGATAATTTTCCTTTAATCAATCATTAGAATCATTGCTTTAAAAAATGGTTCTGACTATATATAGGTGTTTTTCCCAGAGCTCTCCCTTAAGAAGCTAGGATGTTATGGCAGTTCTTTGTTTTCTTTCTTTCTTTATAAAATTGCTAATACTAGTATCTCTGTTTTACAAGTGGTAACAATGACAAACAGAAAGCTTATGCTATTTGCCCAGGGTCACAGAATTAGTCAATGACAGATATGTACTTGTACATTTCTTCTACTTTCTTTCTTAAGGGCCAGTGTTATGCAAATATTTTAAAATAGTGTGTCTGTTAAAAGTATGATTGTTTGTTATGAATTCAAACTGATATATTTCAAACTAGTAAGTAGCTTTATATTTCAAAGGTAAAATCTAAAATCATCTGGCTCAAACATGTTGTATCTTAATGGTCAAAGCCTTTGTGTTGAAAATGTTAAATTTTGTGTTCAGTTATAGGGAAGATCCTAGAGAAGGATCCAATGGGATACTTTTTCCACAAGTTTTATTTGAAGGTCTGATGTTGCATTTTGTTTCTTTTTAAGTTTTTTTATTTTATTTTATTTTATTTTATTTATTTATTTATTTATTTTTTTAAGATGGTGTTTCACCATGATGGCCAGGCTGGTCTCGAACTCTTGACCTTAGGTGATCCACCCACCTCAGCCTCCCAAAGTGCTAGGATTACAGATGTGAGCCACCGTGCCTGGTAAGTATTTTGTTTTTTTAAATTAATAGATTTAGGTGTACAAGTGGTTTTCAGTGATGTGAATAAACTGTATGGTGATGAAGTCTGGGCTGTTAATGTAGCCATCACCTGAATGGTGTACATTGTACTAAAAAGGTAGGTTTTTTTTTATCTTGAAACCTCCTCCACCCTCCTTGATTCTGAGTCTCTAATGGAAATTACACCACTCCATATGCCTCTGTCTACCCAGTGCTTAGCTCCCACTAATCAGTGAGATCATGTGGTAATTGGTTTTTTATTTCTGAGTGACTTCACATAGGATAATAACCTCCAGCTCCATCCAAGTTGCTACAAAAGACATTATTTGGGTTCTAATGAATGAGTAATGTTGGAAACACAGTAGCTAACACCTGTGATCCCAGCACTTTGGGAGGCCAAGGTGGGAAGACTGTCGAGCCCAGGAGTTCGAGAGCAGGCTGGGCAACATAGTGAGACCCCATATCTAAAAAAAAAAAAAAGTAGCCAGTCATGGTGGTACACCTGTAGTCCCAGCTACTGGAGAGGCTGAGGCAGAAGGATTGGTTGAGCCTGGGAGGCGAAAGTTGCAATGAGCTGAGCCTGTGGCACTGCATGCCAGCCTGAGTGACAAAGGAAGACCTTGTCTAAAAAAAAAAATTAAAAAATTAGAAAAGAATGAATGGTCTTTTGTGGTATACATATACCACATTATCTTTCTCAGCTCCTTCACTGAAGTTAGATTGGTTCCAAGACTGCAATTGTTAATTCTGCTGCTATAAACATATAGATGCAGATGCCTTTTTGATATAGTGACTTCCTTTCCTTTGGGTAGATGCCCAGTCGCGAGAATTGCTGGATTGAATGGTAGAGTTTTAGTGCTTTGAAACTCCATCCTGTTTTCCACAGAGATTGTACTAACTTACCTTCCCACCCACAGTGTTCCCTTTTCACTGCATCCGCATCAACATCTATTGATTTTTGATTTTACTAATGTCCATTCTGAATGGAGTAAGGTGATATCTCATTATGGTTTTAAATTACATTTCTTTCATGATTAGTGATCTTGAACATTTTGTCGTATGTTTGTTGGACATTTGTATATCTTCTTTTAAAAAATGTCTTTTCATGTCATTTACGCATTTTTTAAATGGATTACTTTTTTTCTCGCTGATGTGA